ATTCTACAGAAGGAATAGACTCTGTTTCTCCTCAGTGAAATTCATGGTTTGGAACCACTCCAAGACACTAGAACCCCAAAGTTCTCAGGGCAGCTGAAACTAGCCAATAGCCACCTCAGCCCTCCAAGCTGTCCTTCTCCAAAAGCAGAACAGGGCCACACAGGAAAAGGTGGTTTTGATGTTTTATTAAGATAGTTAAAAAATGTAACATATCAAAAGGCAAAAGCCCTTCTATGAAATTTGAAGAAGCAGGGTGTAAGGCCTCTCTCCCCAAAGGACCATCCAATAAAGCACCTAGGTGTGGGGGACCTCTGGGAGTCTGCTTTTCTTCTCTTATCTATTGTTGATCCCCAGTACCCTTGGGGAGCTACCAGCTGCCTCATAGCTAGGTACTATTTCCTTGTTTTCCCTCTTTGGACAAGGCCTGTTTACAAAATATTCAGAGTATCTGCATATTGCCAGGGGCTTAAGAGCTTGGACCTTGATCTCAGTTACTTCCTAGGAAAAATATACAGAGTATCAGCTTATTGCCAGGGGCTTAAGAGCTTGGACCTTGATCTCAGTTACTTCCTAGGGCACTGCTGGTGGTATATAAGTCAAATCCCCTCTAAATGAAATTGGCATTCTTCTTTCAAGAGTGACTGGCTCTTTTGTCTTTATTAAATCCCCAGATCCCTCGCTCAAACCCTTAACAAGTTGTAGCTCTGGGCGATACACCTAGGTTGAAGATATCTAGATCCTGGTCACGAAGGAATGTGTTGGAGGAAGCTGGGGGTTATTGCTCCTGGGTGTGGGGATGATAATCAGCAACCAGGCAATGACTTCCCTGGAGCAGGCAAAGGGGCATCACTCTCAATGACCAACACTGGGTTTCTTTCTCAGGTTCCTGTGATCTTCACCTAGAGCATGGAGATCTGAGAGAGCAAATCTTCCAGGATGGCCTCTGGGCAAGCTTTGCTGTGGATTCAGGTGGCTCCTTCCTTGGGCTGCTCCCTGTGTTGCAGGTGTGGGAGCTGGGTCAGCAGGCTCTCCCACCTTCTTCAGGATGCTTGGCTCTCTGGGTTTGTGTCTAGGACAGGATTAACTCAGAAGACCACAGGGTTCAAGCTTGGCGAAGTTCCAGCATCTTCATAGACATGTCCCAGCTTTGGATACAAAGGGAGCAGGCCAGCAATGGAAAGTCCCTGATTCAGGTATCTCAGGATTCTGGGCTCTGGTGCTTGGTCTGCTGAGTCCCAGACCTCCATCACACAGGACTAGCAATGCTGGTGCATGGTGTCCCTCTCACAGCAGTTGATAGAGGGAATTTGATATTTAAAAGACATTTTAATACTGGCATTTTTCTACTCTTCCTCAGTAGGTGGTCCTTAGTGTATTATGGGGGAGGGCAGCGTTGGGCAAACTGGGAGAATATTGTACCAGAAGTTCCTATCCCCCTTGACTTTCAATTTAAGCTCCTCTTAGGATGACATTATTCAAGGTCACAGGAAGTGAGCAGAAATTGGATTAGCAGCTGTGTTGGGTATCCAAATTAGAAGTAATCCTAGAAAAAGAAAGTTTGGGTGTGTCAGGAGTGGGGCGTGGTTCTCCATTATTTCAGAAACTGACTATTGAGTGATACAAATCATATCTGGTAACTCTACAACTGACATTGAATCCCAGCTCCAAGCCCAGGAAAGTTTGGAGGTGAGGAGGAGTAGATGAAAGGAATGCTTGAGGATTTGCAATTGTTGAAGGTTAGTTATCCAAAGTCTCCTTCTCAGGACTGGAAATCCAAGGCAGTGTACCTGCTAGGTTTGGTGTTCTTTTATTTTGTTTTTGTTTTTGAGAACCGGTTTCTCTCTGTAGCCTTAGCTGTCCTGGAACTCACACTGTAGATCAGGCTGGTCTCAAACTAAGAGATCCTGAATTCAGAGAGATCCATCTACCTCTTAGTCCTGAGTCCTGGGATTAAGGGTGTACCACCACTGCCTGATCTCTATAACTTGAGGCTGACTATGCTTTCTGATCCTCAGCCAAGCTTTAATAAATCATAAATAACATATCACCACAAGATTGTATCTCCTAGAAATTACAGTGATGCAGCTGTGTGGAGGTAGCACATGCCTTTAATACCATCACTCAAAAGGCAGAGGCAGGTGGAGCTCCGTGAGTTCAAGGACAGCCTGATTTACAAGCAAGTTCCAGGACAGCCAAGGATACACAGAGATTCTTGTCTCAGAAAAAGAAAAGAAACTATAGGAATGTTTTATTGATGATATCTCAACATTACAGTTGCCTAAGCAAGACCTAACCATGGATAGGGGAAAAACTCATGGAGCCCTAGTCCTAGACAAAAATAAGCGACTAAGCAGCTAAGGGATGGTGGGAGCGAAATGTGGATCTATATGTCAAGAACAGTTAAAGAAGAGGAGTCCAGGGGTTGGAATGGGAACAAGGAGTTGCCTGAACAGAAGGGAATGGAGGAAAATTATATAATTATATAATATAATATATATGACATATAATATATATATGTCAAGGTTTCTCTGGGTAATAGTTCTAGCTGTCCTGGAACTTGCTTTGCAGACCAGAATGGCCTCGACCTGGAACAGATCCACATGCCACTGCCTCCCGAGTGCTGGGATTAACGGTGTGAGCCATTAACACATGCCATAATATTTTAATTTAAAAAGTTAATTGAAAAGTTAATACTAACCCAAACAAAAATCTATAGCCGGGCGTTGGTGGCGCACACTTTTAATCCCAGTACTTGGGAGGCAGAGGCAGGTGGATCTCTGTGAGTTCAAGGCCAGCCTGGTGTACAAGAGCTAGTTCCAGGACAGCCTCCAAAGCTCCACAGAGAAACCCTGTCTCCAAAACAAACAAACAAACAAACAAAAAAACAAAAAAAGAGAAAAGAAAAGAAAAGAAAGAAAAAAGAAAAGTTAATACTCCCAAAATCAAAGTCATATGTACCAGTAGCTGACTGTCAGAGGCAAAGCCCTCTCTCATGACTTTCCAGCAGAATGACCCCCAACATGTTCTGTGATTTCTGTAGGTGTTGCATTTTTACATTATCTCTGCAATGGAGCCCAGTAGCAGATTTCATCTTACAATAGCTTTCATGTAAACATTCTCTAATAGGTGTTATCATTTAGGTAACTCTCACAGCATATAGTTATATCAGTAAAGGGAAATAACTGGTAGAATAAATGTAGGTTACCAGATGTGGTCTGGGTAGTCAACAATAGCTATCTCACATTGGAAAGACTGGGAATCTGGTGGTTGTTCATTCCAAGAGCCTGGATGTCTCTTGATAGCCCCAGTCTGGTGCTGAAGACCCAGAGGATTCCTAGGGAGCTACTGGTCTTCAGTCTATGTGGGTCTTCTT